CAGAAGGGTAGATAAGGAATTAGGTAAGGATTAAAGACAAATTACACATCCTTAAAGATATTAAATAAATCACTATAAATAGTTTTAGTTAGTTTTAAAGAATAATAAGTGCAAAATCATATTTGTAAGTGATGAATTTTATATTATAAATAAAGCTAAAATGACCCTTAGAAGCAGTACATTTTGTTGGCTTTATTAAAATACAAGATCCAATACATTATAACATTTATAATAAAATACTAACACTATTCCTGCCTAAACCCTGTAAATCCCTATAAACATTGTTGTTTGTACAAGTTCTTGTTCACATGACTTACCCTACTTGTATTTATTAACTCAAAGTAACCGAAAGCCTTTATCACCCACCAGCCAATCTAACACCCTCTTTTGAAAAGGTTACTTATTATACATTGCGCAAGATATTAAATTGTAGAGCAACAGAGTTGCAATCTTCCAAACCCAACACTACCATATGTATATAAGATGAATGAAAATAAAACCTGAACACCATTAAATTAGAGATGTTGACTATAATTTTTATCATATCTCATGTTGAATTAAAATACTATATATGAAATGTTATTTACTAATGCTAATTGTAATTTGATCTATTGCTATGGATATTAAGATACATGCTGATTATTTGAGAATATCAATTATTTGTTCTAACCAAATTTATATATATATCTTATGCTAAATTTATAGTACGTATGAAGCGAGTGCTACAAGTTGTGAAGGAGTACACACTATGCCAAATATAAGTAATTCAAAAAACTCAGCCAAAATGATTATTAATAAATTGAATGTATTCTACTGATTATTTATAAACATTGCTAATTACGTTCTGGCGAGAATGTGTAAATTTTTGAATTGTTTGTGATTTATATTGATATACCAGAAAGGAGTTTCAGAGTTTACAGGAAATATGCATGTACAATTCTGAGCACATGATTGGGTAATCTGTCATCGTGACTTTGTGTAGCACCCCAAACAATACTTTAAAAGGTAGATACCAGCCCCTGTATGCAAAGTCTTGAATTGATTGGTCCATGTGACTTATTCGTGGTTCAATATAAAAAAAAAACAAATGAACACATACATCTGTAAAATTGAAGATGCTATAACAAACGATAGTAAAAATAAGTTTTTTAGGCACAAAAATTAGTGTCCCAATATAAATTTAAAGGCTTCAATGCTAAATATTTGGTAATTTTCATTTTTTTTCATCGAATGTTTTATCGGGCTGATAAAATGAAATCACTGATCGTCAAAGACTTAATCGAAAGGATTTGTCGATCATTTAGATTTTTAATGTTTTTTGCAGGGCCTCAGAATTTTGAGTCAGATTCATCGGAACTGAGTGATGCTAGCTAACCAACTATATAGCAGTCAGACATTGACTTCATTAATAGGTTTTTAGGCTCAGTTACTGAAATTCAAACCAATATTCAGATCGCAAGTATTATCACCTTCTTTTATAAAGAGTCATTTTCTTATACCAGGAATAAATTGCAATGAAGAATATGGTTTCCCGTGACTGAAATGGTGTTTGTGTAGATTTCTCCCGTTCTTTGGTTTCGCGCGACAACGTTGCGCATAGTGATGGGGAAAATGCGCATTTTATAATAACATGCACATGAATGCGCATTAATGCGCACGAAATGTTACATGCGCATGATATCGCATGATAAAAAAAAGTCGAAAAAAGAAAAACGATCGAGAGGAGAGAAATCTTGATGGGATAAAATGCGCATGAAACGGAATCATGCGCACGCATGAAACCCATCTCTAGTTGCGCAGCTACTTATATAACTATATAGCATTTAATTATATTCAAAATGCTGACCCTAATATTAATAAACTTCCAAAAACTTGCATGCGCAAGACGATCGACATAACCTGGCACAGAATACCTATGTGCTGTATCTATATATGTAACTACGGATGTATTACATAAATTACTTTGTTACGTTTCATGTAAATTACATTGTAGCTTACGAAATTGTAGTGTAACTTTACGTTGCATAGTGCATTATCACATGATAATTTTACCGCCATTACAAAAGTTTAGCCAGCTCTAATATATATCCATCATTATGTTCGGAATTGTAATCTTTATACCAGCGTTATAAAAATTTTTGCAAAATTATTCACATGATAAAAATTTTGATTTCAGAAACTTACACAAACTTACGTAAAATTACGGTAATTTTCCAACTCTACCTATACTTCTGCAAATAAGCACCCCTTTATTGCATGTAGTGCAGGCCAAAATTGTTATAATGCAGGCCAAATTTTGCATAGTGTGGGCCAGGGGTGCTTATTTTCGGGAGGTGCTTAATTTCGGAACTATACGGTAATACAATTTACAAACATTTGGCGAAATCTTTCCAAGCCTCTTAATTGCAACAACTTTTTAGTTATTACTGATTATTTCTCGAACATGATTGGGTATTAGGAACTGTAATATTAACCTTTTCGTTCACTACGAACTTGATGATCTGTTAATCAACAGATGAAAAATCGAAAAGAAAAAAGGAAGGATAAAAAAATATATACAGTATAAAAATACATACGGTGTTGTAAGAAGTTTGTTGTAGAATGTTCGTTATAGAAGTTCGTTGAAAAAGTTCTCGTTATAAAAAATTTGTTGAAAAAGTTAAAGAAGTTCAGTGAAAAGTTCGCTATGAAAAATTCGTTGAAAAGTTCATTATAAAAAGTTCGTCGAAAAAGTTCGTTTTATAAAACTGAAAATTAAAAATACGAATGAACAAAAAACAATAAATTGCATAAATAACATTGTAGGGTTACGTCAAATCAGATAAAAACTGAGGTTTGGAAATCATATGACTGTGCCTCAATTATTGGTGACACTCCTCCTGAAATTAAGCATGTCAATATGAAAGCCCATTACGTCTTGAGACTTTGATGAGCCATGTGATTATGGTCAAACCAATAATAATAATAATATTTTTTGTCACATAATGTAATGTTTCAATTGACTCCTCTCAATATGCTTAAGCTCCCAAAGGTAACGTTAAACGAAACTATAACTTCAAGCTGCCTATGTATTAATAAATGTAACACAGGTCCTTAACTTTATTGAGCGTAAGTGAAAACTTATAAAGTATATGTGTAAATTAGTAACATTAGTTGCATCAGTCAATATAAACGCAAAAGGCCAGAATGCTTTAAAGAAGCATGCATAATCATGTAAAATTTAAATGTAACAAGCTAGTAAAAATCATTGACTTGCTTGATGCGATGTGGTATAATGTAAGGAGTTTTGATGGCATCTCCGATCAAGGATTGTTATCTATAAGAGTTTCATATGACTAATGTATGATTAATTGTGTTTTTTCCTAACATAGGTCTTTTCCGAAGTTGTTAAATTTGAGACTCTAGTCAACTAAATTTCTAATTAGCAATAACGTATATTTAAGTAATGAACGGAGAAAATCCCTATCCAAAGGCAAGACCCGATCGTTGGTTTTCTTGATTACAATTAATTTAAGTGGCACCAAGAGAAAAATTGGACTTTTGGCTTTCAGTTTATCATCTATTTATTATATTTTATTAGATTCAGCCATTATCCCTTTATCAGAAACATACATAGTAAATGAATTTGGTTCGCTTTTCGGCTGAGGCCGAATTCGGTAAATTCGGTAAATAATAAATAATAGGCGTGAAAATAGAAAGTTTGGCTTCCCCTTGCGTCAGTTATTTTTTTAAAAATCTTCAAGATTCGCGAAATTACGAGAAGTTTCTAACCTATAGATCATGATATTTAGAACTATACCTTTTTGCGTAGCAAAATAAAGATTTATTAACTTAAATTTATTTGGATTCTCAAGTTGGTTTAGTATGTGCACATGTGTACATGAACTACATAAATAACTACATAAATAACTACATAAATAGTTAGACTAATTTATTGTTATTTATTTTGACTATATATGTAAAACAATTAAAAATCCATAATCCGGACATCCTAGAAATCGCACACATCAAAGTTTATTTTAAAGATCAATAGAAAATGCCATAACAAGATATTTGAATTTAACATAGCTAACATAGTTAAAGTTTGACATATGTATTTTTATTTGTTTTCGAACAAATTTTAATTTTAATTTGAACAAATTAAAGCACATTTGGTTTATCTCTATCGGAGTTACTAATTCTTTAAAATATATATATTTGGTCTATTTAAATTGGACCGATTGTTAATATTATTCATGCACGTAAATAAATTCATTTAAATATGAAACTTTATCTGCCTTGAATTTTATTGTTCTTCGTAATTTGGGTTGAATGAACTTTTTGTAATGGTAAGAAGAGTATGGTTATTAAAATTTAATTAATGTGAGCTAACACTAAGCCGAAACTTTTAGTTCAAAATAATTCTGAAGCAAGGGACAAAGCTTTATGATTGTAAGAAATTATGTTTTGAATTTGAATGGTGAAATAATATCTAATCTCGTTTTTTGTTGACGCTGACTTAATAAAGAGTCACTTTATCATAAAGAAAGCAGCTTCTAAAATATTATTAAAGAAATTTTAGTGGTACATTTTATGCATAAAACGAAGCTTAGTACAAATATTCAAAGACAATGAAAATTCATGATAAAAAATTCCAAAATATTTTTAAAATATTATTATTATTAATTAATTTGATTGCTTTTATTATTGACTTTTCGGGAATCTGTGAAAGAAATGGTACGATGCATTATGTATAAAGAATAACAAAGTAAATAGAAGCGTACATATGTGCTTACTATAAGAATTTCCTTTTTAAGATTTTTGTAAGCTATCAAATAAGGAATCTGATCAATGTCAATTGGCACACATCAACATTCCATAAAAATTTCTGTAGAAAGAAACCAAACATATAAAACTACCCAGAGTTGGTATTATGACAACTTTCAAGATTTAGACCCGATGAATTATTATTACATAGTCAACGGTTCTCATATCGGTAACGACGTTGATTGAAAATTACTATGGATTCAACTTCTATAAACACAATTTTATTATATAACACTGAAATACAAAAATCTGCACTTTCTGGTATTGGTCACAAAGCTTCTCGTTCTGAAATCGTCAACGAAATCATGATTAATAAATTGAATCAAGAAACTCTTACTCTTTCCAAGCTCCCTGATAAAATAAAAATCAATATTTTTAAATATGTCCGTTTTCCAATGAACTTATTGTTAACTAGCGATCTTTGGTATCAACTTTCAAAACAAAATGTGGTCAGAGCTAAATGGTTAATTTATCATTTTGGTAAAGGACATGCGCTATTCTATGCAATTCATTTCGGTCCAAATTTCATTAATGTTCCTGTAGTTCAAAAAATCATCGAATTTGGTGGAATAGTATCTAGGTACTTTGTTCAAAGGTTTTTACTTTCATTTGGTGCATATGATCCAAAATTAATCCAGAAAAAAATTGAACATAATGTGGGAAATATCGATATTGAACAAATACGCAAAGTACAACAAAAACACGCTACACCTTGGGCTAGTGATACTCCTCTTGATGTATTTACGTACATTTTACTTGAGGCTTCAAAATTATTAAATTCATTTGATAATTTTGAACCTTACTCTGAGTTAGCTGTTAAGGGTAATGATATGGAATTTTTCCACTTTCAGACTGGAGGACCATATGTAATTAATCTAGCTAAGAAAAAGCTCGAAGATAATTTAGGTCATATTAAAGAGTTAATCTTAAAATGGAAGTTCGTTCCATTTCCACCAAGGCTTAAAAATAAACTGTATGAAGGAAAGAGCATTGAAGAATATCCAGCCAAGGATGGTTTTGAGAATTGCAGGCAGTTGAATATCATTGCTCGGGCAATCTTGATTCATAAGGATTTGGTTAATTTGTGGAAACATATTGGTTACTATGATATCGTAAATGACGTTAACGATCTGGTGATTCAAGGTGCATTGTTATTATTATTCCCACCAGTTCCGACCAAAGACTATGTGATGCCAACCGTCAAAGAAATAATCGATAGGCTTCAAGAATTACTCAATCTAGGGTTTAATCCAACCAATGAGGTCATACTTGACATATTGCAGCTTTTCGAGAACAGGTTGAATCATATTGGTGAAAGAATTATCCATTCCTTCATTTCAATCCGTAGAAATGAAACTCATGATGAATTTTACAGAAAAATCGTCGGAGAAGCTATTAAATCAGAAAGGAATTTAAAGAAGACTGAAGTATTGAACTTTTTGGATAAAATGATTGGAAATAAGAGTAAATTCATTTTCATGGATGCGATGCTACTATTTAGAGAAAAAAGTTCATTTCGTTCTATTGGCGGAACAAAAATCATTAATAGTGTTCAACCCAATTCTAAAATTAATTTTCATTATTATAAACCATTATTATTTAATCTCACTTTTTATAATTGGATTCTCGTTAAATTTACCGAAAATTCGGAAATTGCAAATTTGGCATTTAACGATATTTTAGAAACTAGAATAAGTCTTGACATTTGTCAGAATACAAAAGAATTCTCTTCTTGCAAATTCATTGGTGCTAAATTCACTGAAATATGCAATATTTTTAAAGTTTATTGCAATATCAAGAATTTCTTTATAGTATCACACCTTGAGCTTCTTAAAAAAGTTTCTCATGAAGACATTCTTCGCCCTTTATTTGAGTTCTATTTACTCGATATTTTTGATCTTCCTACCACTTTTAAGATGCCAATGCAAATTGCAGATGATGATAATATTTATGTTAAATTTAAAAGAAAAAGGAAAAAGCGAATAATGATAAAGGAGCAAAAATTAGAATGGCTTATTGCTATTGAAAATCTTCATAAGGAAATTGTAAAGAAGGGTAATTCTATCACTGAAACGATGTCAACTAAATTTAGAAATTATATAGAAGATCTTTATGATATACTTGAAAACGAAGGATTTTTTGAAGAATTACAAACGGAATTGGAAATGAAAAATTCCTTAAATATTTTCAAAAAAATAAAGTTGTGAATTAAAAGAAATATTAGATTTTTAGTGTCAAATTCTTGATGTCACGGATGTACATATGTAGTATGTAATTCGTCGCTTTGTCAACCAACTGATCAGAGATTTATTATAATTTCATTCGAGTTCAAATTTACCGAAATAACGTCAACAGACGTCATATTAAGATACTATTTAATGAGTGCTATGAATTAATTTAGCCAAAGATTTGTAAATTAACTTTTAACATTCTTTAAATTATGTACCTTAAAAGAACTCTTAGGGTCGTTATTTCTCGTAAGCACGTTAACGTTCGGCATCTATTTCAAACAACTTTAGCGTAACCACAAAGATCAGTTACTAAATTAGTAATTCTTATCATATTTAAAATTATGATTATCGTATACTTAATTGCCAAATTAAATAAAGAGTCAAATGTGATTTCAAAAAAAAAATAATAATTCGGAAGAAATTTTTTTAATATATTCAAATTAACCTTGCTAATCGGCCCAATTTAGGTTAGTGTAACGTTAAGAGTCGGCCTAAAAAAGAGTTTAGGCTAATCAATGTCAATCATGTAATGCTGGCCTAAAAATTGACATCTAAGGTAAGCATTAGTCTGAGGCACAACATATATAAACAAAATTCTTTTTTTTTTTTTTTTAAATATTAATGGTGAGGCCATGCCTCTATCTTTATTGAATATTCAATTGAGATTTTACATA